CGCAGCTCAGCTTTCGCCCAGAATCGAAAATGTCTCGGCCCTGTATGTCGAATCTGCATCAGGGACCCGAAAGGAAAAGCAGCCATGGACGATGAAAAAGATGAAGATGTTGTGTATTAGGCTAGACTTATTGGCTGCTTAACTGAAGCAGCAAACTTATAAATTATTTCACCGAGCAGAAATACAAAAGTCTTATGAAGAAAGCTTTTCGGCCATAAAACCGAAAGACTCCAATCGACCTTTCCTAGGATAGGCAAAATGTATCGGAAATAGAACAGAACCACTGAGTTTTTTTTATCTTGTCATGGTAAGACTGTCACTGATGTGCTCTTTCGATGAATTGACAGAGTTATCAATTAGTATCTGCAGTTTCGTCGCTAGTTAGAACTTGTCATTCCGCAATGATTGGATTTTGGGAAAAAGTGCAAATTCTGCAATTGTTTTTACTGTGAAATCTGTTTTTACTTTTCACTGAATATTAAATAGTACCGCCACTTTACCGTAATTTAACCGAAAGCTGAACGTTAACAAAGGGCTATCATCCTAACTTAATGGATTGTTCAAAGCTTTTCATACCCACAGGAGTTGCAAGATAATGATGTTATGAACTGAATTTTTTACTGTCATCAATAATTTAGCGCGTTCTCCAGATCTGCTTTAAAACATTTAAACGACCAATCAACTGCATCTTCATAAAAGAACAAATGCTCATAGCTTTAAGTGAATTCATTGCGCACTTCGAATATATCGCTGTAGCATACTACAAACCGTAAAACTGCCATTTGCCTGTTATTATTTTTATGTACTAATGGTAGGTAAAGTGTTAGAATTAAAATATTACTCAACATATGGATTTTCTGTTAAGTTCGTTGCTTTAACTTAAGAGCATGTCGAAAAGGAAAAGTTTCACAAGGCATACGTTGTTTAACAGAATCTAGATTAAGATCTTCTGTCATAAGGAACTTTTAAATGTACCTGCGATTTGTTACACAGTAAGTACGAAACTGATCCTGCGACTGTTCCATTTACGAGTACCCTGCATGAAAATGAGTCATTTTGACTAATTTTCTTTAATAATTCGCAAATATTTCTTCTTTAAAGTTGGGTACAAAGTTTTCGCTAAAAGTTGAGCTTACAGATTTTATTTCTAAGCGAATTTTTGTGTAAACATTTCATTAGAACCGTCATAACTAATTTTCATGATCTCATGTTCACTTCAATATCGTGGAATGTGGGTTAACGTCATTTTGATGGAAACATTTCTGAGTTTTGGTGGTAGTATTCTTTGTGCTAATGAAATGATGTTGTAGATTAAGGTTTGTGTCAAGATTGTCAATGCCGTATCGAGTTTCTTTCGTCGTCGAGATATTTGACGACGACGTCAATGCCACCTCGAGTGTGCCGAGTGTTTATTATACAGGCGCAATTTTTAGAGACGGAATGGCCAATCGGACGGGCGATGCCGGAAGACGAAACGGATCGGAAGCGACCAAAGTATGCCAGTTCAAACTGGTGCTTCTGGGCGAATCGGCGGTTGGAAAATCCTCCCTCGTATTGCGTTTCGTCAAAGGCCAGTTTCACGAGTATCAGGAGTCAACAATTGGAGGTATCTTTGTAGTTGCTGCGTCTGTTACCTACTGGTCGTTTGTAATCGTTAAGAAAGTTGCAATCTGTCATTAAGTTTTTTCTTCACAGAAGTTGAAGTATTTCGAAAAGTAATTTCTAGAATGACCTTTTTCTTTTCTGAAGCTACTCCTCTGCTTTGTAAATGTCTGCTCCGTAGATAATGTATATGAAAAGTATTGGTTGATTGTCACTATTCACTCATTTGCGTAATACGAGTGATGGGTCATCGTTTTTTAGAAGAAGACGTTTAGTCGCATATGCGAAAGATTTGCCGGTATCACGGCAATATTTCAAACCAATATAATATTTAATGTAAAAATAAAATAACTCAACGTTTGTAAGGTTGTGACTGCAAACAGGAAAGGTAGTGTTGACCTAAGGTAAACTTTAGTGCAGCTACGAAGGCTTTGTCCTTGCATCTGTTTTGAACTCAAAGGGACGCATCGTTTGATCGTCACATTTAAGTTAGGGTTGTAGTGCGTCACTAGCAAGTTAAAAGGTGGCCGCATTGCACAGGCCTATCGATGACACTACCTGGTCAACGATTTCTTCCAGGTCGGTCTCAGTGACACGATAAATCTTATTGGCACGACTGCTCGACGCGGTATGCGAAAAGTCGTTTCGATGCGGATCAGGAAGCACCGCTGGACCGATATAGGTAATCACTGGTACACAATATTGCCTAGGTTTTGCAATGGGAAATTTATTTGGACAGTAACATTTATTTGTCTGCCTGTGAGAAAATTCGCTAGTTACTTTAAGATTTACTGAGGTTGGTAAAAGCTTATGCACACGGGCCGCAGGTTGCTATGTCATTTGCTTGTTTTGAGCAGTCATGAAATTTTCACAGTTAGTCCACTTTTACCTTATGGTTGTGGGTAATACATATGGAGTAGACACGCCAGATATATTCACCTGTGTTCGAATGCCCCAATTGAACTGAATTGAACTGTACACGTTTGCAGTTCCGTGTATTAAGTGAAGCCATAGGAAAAGTGAGCCAGTTTAAGTATCTCGGCGCAATCGCATCCAGCGATAGCACCGTCAAATCAGAGTTAAATTCGAGGATATCTCTCCATTACGCGTGGTAACCTGTCAAGTATTTGGACTTAGCCGCAAAGACAGTTTGTCTATTCCAGGCCTCGGTCAGTTTAGAGTTGCATGCCACGGAAACCGCTTTCCCAACGAAGGTCTAAGACTGCTGAATTTGGTAAAAACCCTTGACTTGGAGGCTTAATGAGGGTTAAGTGGCAGGATTACTTAAGGAATAACGGGCACATGTGGCACCAGTAGATGTGAAGATGAGGCAAGCAAGATTGGCCCTGTTAGACAAGCTGGTCGAGCGTACGCCAATTACTCCAGCCCTAGAGAGTCTCACGTGGTAGCCGAAGCATGACTAACGTCCATCAGGAGACTAGCTTGCAACCCATAACTACAAGATTGACACATCTACTTTTGGAGCAGAATTATTCTTTGTACGATGCAGTAACTGTGCCTTATAGCAATAGTGTTGAAATGCTGCGGCTGCAGCGGATATCACAAACCAGATATATTCTGTTGGTGCCAGCGGCTCGGGTTGATGATCACGTAAAATACAATTCCGTTTATGTCGCGCTGTTTAATAAACTGTTGTAAAGTCAGAAACGAACCAATAAATAATCTTCATTAGAAAGCCTGTTTCTTATGGTTGTTTAATAGGTGCCTTTATCAGTAAGAAAATAAATTTCTTTCATTTAATTAACGAATTCATATCAGTTAGTTTCGTCCATCACACCATCAACTACAGATCAGATGTCGAATATCACTGACTACTACTATCATCGTATTGTGTGCTCAGCTATCAGGGCATCAGCTTGTTGGCCCAGCCTGTTAACAGTCTATGCAAAACTATTGGAAAAAACTTGCATCGAGGTCTCTGACTCTAAGATCCCTAAAGAGGATTATGGCTTGAGGTCAGCCAAACATATCTGACTAGGTATTCACCGTACGCTAGATTGTTCAGATATGGTGAGTTCGATCATCCGGTTTATATGTACTTTGTAAAAGAGAAATCCTATAACCGGATCCTGCGCAACAGTCTATGGATATGCCAGTTAATATATGGGATCGATGGCCAATTGCTACGGGCCATCCAGTCACTGTACGCTATCATAGTAGGTGTTGTGTCAGAGTAAATGGAAATAAGTCATCAATCTTCAACTTTGGCACTGTTTTCCGCTAAAGCCACGTTCTGCCCCCTCTGCTGTTTGTGCTGTACATGGATGGAATAGTCAGAAGAATCCATGACACCGAGTGTATTAGCATAGGCGATATGGAAGGACGAAATTTGAAGTTTTCATCTTCTGAGACTGATCTGCAGCGCTCTCTGGAGAGGTTCACAGCCAAATGACGTGACCGGCATGCGTGTGAACGCATCTGAAACAAAGCCTAGTGCTTTCTCGTTCTTCTGCCCGTTGCTCTCTTCAGATTAACGGAGCCGGTGAAGTTAATGTACCTCGAAGACGTGTTTACTGGTGATGGAAAATTTGTGGAAGAGATCTACCGGCGGATTGTAGTAGCTACTGGCGTTCTGTCTGAACCACTGTGACTCAAGCAGAGCTGAGTTGAAGACTAAGCTCTCAGTGTTCAACTCGATCTTTATCCCCCTGCTTCCCTGCGGTCATGAGTCGTGCATTATGACTGAAAAACTTCGATTCCCCCTACAAGCGACTGACAGACAAATCGCTTATATAATGCGTGTCGACAGATTCCGGAGTTTACTTATCTGGGAAAGCCTTGCTTCTCCAGATTGAGATGTCACAACTGGGATGGTTTGACTATGTCTTGCGAATGCTTGCATAAACGTAGGTGGAGCAGCTATTACTTGCTCATCCGACCGCCCTAAAACCCAGAGAACCGTCTAGAATGACCTGGGGTAACTGCCTCGGTACTCTGCTCCAAAGTCAAGT